TCATTGTGCCTGGGAGTAGGGCCAGTGTGGCATATGGATCAAGCCCCAGTCCCTGCACTTGCCTAAGCAGGTGCTTAGTCTGCTGAGCTATCTCACCAGCCCTGCATGAGACTTTCTCGTGGGCTCTAGACCTCCAGTTAGACTTGTGAGAAGCATTGTTATGAGCTCTAGTTTTTTAGCTGGATTCCTGCAGGATATTAAGATCCAGGACTTCAGCTGGATTCTTACATCTTTAGTGCACAGATAGATTTCCTACACTCCTTATACATGATTCTTTGGGTTTCATTAGAAAATATAAAATGTGTCCAGTATTGCATTGTTTCCCTTGCAAAACCCCAAACCATGAAAATGGAGTATTAGCCTAAATAAAAATGAAATCAAAGTGGTGTGGTGATACATGTTTCTAATGTCAGCACTCTGAAAGGCTGAAGCAGGAGGACTGCAAGTTCAGGTCGAGTCAGCAAAGCTTCACAATTTAGTAAGATCCTGTCATAAAATAAAATAACATAGGGCTGGGGAGATTGCTCAGCAGTGCCAGCTTGGCAAGTGCAAAGACCCTGGTTTGATCCTCTGTACTTCATGCAGTTCCGGGCGCACCAGGCTGCCCTGAAACCAAGCGTGGTGGCACACACCTGTAATCCCAGCACAGGGGAGGCTGAGACAGGAGGATCACTATGAGTCTGAGCTTGTATGTTTTAACCTCTTCCTGTGAGCGGCCTGAGATGACCTGTAAAAATGGTTCACTACTCTCTTGACCCTGAAAACCCCACAAAATCATGCAAACCAAGAGGCTCAAATCTTGGCATTCACTTTTAAGAACACGTGTGAAACTGCCCAGGCCATCAAGGTATGAATATTTTGGGGGCTGGGGAGATAGCTCAATAGAATAAGCGCTTCCCTGGCAAGCTGAAGGGCCTGAGTTCAATCCCTGGTTCCACTAAATAAATAAATAAATAAATAAATAAATAAATAAATAAAGAAGCAGGCTGGCCAAATAGCTCAGGGGATTAAAGTGCCTGCTTAGGCATACACAGGGGCTGGGAGTTCGATCCCAGGGGCCTGGTGTGCTGGCCCCACTGCTGGGCACACTGAGCTGGGGATTGAGACTGGGCGTGGTGGCATTCGCCTGTAATTCTAGTACTTGGGAGGCTGTAAACAGGAGGATCAATACAAATCCAATCCATGCAGTGAGACCCTATAGACCCTGTCCTAAAAAAAAAAAAAAAAAAAAAAAAAAAGCAATGTGTGCCATTCCAGTGTTACAATAGTGGAGTTGGTAGGTGTGCCCAGGCCAAACAGTGGGGCTGGATGCAGGGTCAATGGCCCAAAAAGAGTGAATTTTTGCTGCATATGCTTAAAAATGCAGAGAGTAATGCTGAACTTAAGGGTTTAGATGTAGATTCTCTGGTTATTGAACATATCCAGGTGAATAAAGACATTTCCAGTTTGAGTAAGAGTTTGGAATGTCACCTGGGATAAAAAGCACACAATCAGTGGATAAAAGTGCCTGCAAGCAGGCGCAGGGGCCAGGGTTCAATCCCCAGGCCTTCCTGCTGGCCCCACCCCTGGTGCATGCGGAGACAGCAATTGAGACTGGGCGTGGTGGTTGGCGCCTGTAATTCCAGCTCTTGGGAGGCTGTAAACAGGAGAATCACTATGAGTCGGATCTAGTAGTGAGACCTTGAA